ACCCAGTGCTCCCCCGCCCCCCCATGGCCCCAGCACCCCAAGGACCCTGCCCCGGCGGCCACGGTGCCCCTCACCCCTCCTCAGGCCGGGTGCTGAGCTCTAGGTCCAGCCATTCGGCGCTGAAGGTCTCGCGACGCCCCACGTCCTCCTCCCGTACGCGGCAGCCCAGGCGGGCGCCCGAGAGCAGCCCCCCGCTGCGCACCACTGTGCTCGGCACCAGCATGCTGCCGTTGTCCCCCCCAGCCGCCCGCCCCGCTTATATGGCCCCGCCGAGGCTATTTTGGGACGTGTTGCTGGCACCGTGGGGACAGGAGGGTGCCAAGGGCCCCCTCGGGGCAAGCGGGGGGGTGGTACTGGGGACACGTGTGTCACCCCGTGTGCGTCCAGCCACACTCGGCCCCATGTGCCCGCTGGTGACTTGCCACCCCAGGGTGGCACCCCCTGCCCTATGCTGTGTCCCCCATGGGGACACGGGGCAACGTGACGGCACGGGCAGGATCCCTTGGCCCCGGGCCAGGGCACGTCTGGCCTTTCGCTGCCCGCCGCCGCGCTGGCACCGGTCCCTGGGACACGATGGACCCCAAAGGTGTCAATGGCTTTGCGGCTGCCCACTGCCAACGCGGTGGCCGCGCTACCCTGGGCCACCTGGCCCATGGCGGCAGTGGCCCTGCTGCTGCCCTCAAAGGGCCACTGGGGTCCCATCCTGGCGTGTCCCCTCAGGGACGCAGGGACAGGCAGGGGGGTGCTGGCCACAGGGCCTCCCCAGCCGGGCTATTTGTAGGGCCAACAGATGGGGGCTGCGAACAGACGGGTGCTTGCCGGGTGCCAGCGGCCGGGGCTCACGTGGCCGCGGCTGCTGCCTGGGCGGACACAGGTCCCCAGCCCCTTCCAGCCGCCCGGGGCCATCGCCCCGCAGCCACGGTGGTCCCGCTCCAGAGGAAACAACCTGGGGCCGGGGGACGTTTGGGGAAAACGCTGCCCAGGGTGACCAGTGCAGATGCTCCACACCGATGCCCAGGTGCCACCACGGGATGGGGGACAGTGACACTCCTGGCCAGTGGCTGATGGAGGCTGGGGGACCCCTCCTTTGAGCTTGGGGGACTTTGGGCTGGCCCCAGCCCCACAGCCACTCACCCCGGATGGGCCAGTGCTCCTCCTCGCTTTCATTCACTCGAGTTACAAAGGGCCCGTGGAAGACAACGGGCTGCAAACAGTGCAAGGCTTTTTATTCTGAGAGATGCTGGCCGGAGGCGTCACCCCTCGGGGGCGCGGGGGGCCGGACCCCCAGGACGGGGGCGCAGAGAGCCCAGGGGGGAAGTGGTGTGGGTGCTCCCCGCAGCGCTGCCGGCATCTGCCCCCGCGTGCGGGCGGCTTCGCGCTGTTTCCATTTATAGTGCAGAACACGGCACCGGCGCTCACAGGTGGGGGGGGGGGGGGGGTGAGCTGAGACAAGCCCCAGGGGGAGGCTTGGGCAGCCCGAAGCACCAGGGAACAGCCCCAGAGAGGTCCCCTGCACGGACCCCCCCCTCGCCTCCCGCAGGGAGCTAGGTGTGGGGCACAGCCCGTGGGACGACAGCCGTGAGCCGGGCACGAGCTGCGGAGCAGCTTTATCCGGACGGACCCGTGTCCTCACGCTAACATGGCCTTCTCCTCTGGCCCCTCTTTCTTATCGTACAGGAGTCTGGGGGTCACAGATAAGCCCCCAACCCCTGGGTGAGGGGCAGGGGGAGGCCGGACCCGGAGGAGGGCAGGGCAGGGGTTTGGCACGCAACAGTCAGTGGTTTCAGGGCCCCGGTTAGGGGGAACCGTTGTGGGAGGAGGAGCTGAGCACCCCCAGCCTCATCTCAGCGCTGTTAGTACAGGGCATCCTCTCCCAGGGGGTTGCAGCGAGGCCCTGGGGGCCGCAGCGAGGCCCTGGGGGCCGCAGGGTCCCCTCCCGGCTGTCCCCTGGCTGCAGAGGAGAGAGGGCAGAGGAAAACGAGGGCAGGTCCCCGCTGCTCACGGCTTGCCGGAGAGCTCGCTGACCCGCTGGCGGAGGTGGAAGGCGAACTCGAACATGGTGGCAGCCAGGCTCTGGTGGATCAGGTAACGGGGCAGGCGACCCTGCGGGGAAAGCAGAGGAGCACGGAGCCGTGAGTCTGGGCAGCACGGAGGCGGCGCTGGGTTTGGGGCTGGGGGCTGGCCCCCATCCCGACCCGGCGGTGGCAGCCCGGGCTGAGGGATGCACAAGCACCGCAGCGGGGAGCTGCCGCTTACAAGGAGCTTGCTCCGGGGGAGGAACTGAAACACGTTTTGATTTCTCTAAAAAAGCCCTGCACGACTCAACCTCAACCGCCTCAGCCTCTGCTCTATTATGTGAGATGCATAAAAAAAAAAAAAAAAAAAAAAAAAAAA